AATTTTAATTTTTTTTTTTTTTTTTTTTTTTTTTTTTTTCCCTTTAAACTTCTACTAGGTTCCTAAACCAAAGGCAAAACTTATAAAAGGAGACCAAGCCGGACAAGACATAGTAGAAATGCTAGCTTGTGATCGACTAAGCCAGTCTGGTAACAAAAATATTCACTGAAACTTCTTAAAGTTGTTAATTAGTTTGTAAGAAACATTAAACTGCTCCAAAACATGAGAGAAGAATTTAGTCTCGACTTTGAGCATATATGTAGTTACATTTTGATATCCCATGATTGAATTTAAAAGCATCTTTAATCATGCAACGGTATTTCATTCCCCATCTTCTTTTTTTTCTTCTGCCATGTGAAAAAATGAGTTAATATGGAAAAATTAGAACATTTTCCCACTACCCTTCCTTCATACTCCTGAGTGATACCAACCTTAAGTTTTGTACCTTTTTGAATCTTCTTCAAATGCTATTAGTACTCCAAGGCTTCTTTCACCTTTTGTGCTTTTGGATTATTGGCTCTCTGAATGAGATACTCTTCAGGATTTCCTTCTCTTGCAAGAGCCATTCCACTCCTATCATAGCTATTTGTGGAAATAAAGAATGCTGGATGTACTGTGGGGATTTTTCTTCCATATTTGTTAAACCATCTTTACCAGAGGTTCCATATTTATGTCCAGAGGACTGGATATCAAAATTCTTTGGCCTAGATGCCTCGGTGTGGAGCATGAAAGGTCTCTTGGGCATATGCGGTTAAATTCTGGCACAATAGAAGTCAAAGGGAATTTCTTGGGAATAGAAATTTGTCTACAGTCCCCTTTTTTTGACATACTGGGTTACTGCTCTAAGATGCTTGCTACTGAACAAAATTCATTTTAAATTAAAAAAAAAGTGTAATTCATTGTTTTTGAATTAACAAAGTATCTTGCTTTCTAGGTCACATGTTGCTAAACCTAAGTCATGGCAAGCAAGACTTTTTTAAAGAGATTGTGGAGTCTTTTGCAAACAAAAGTGGGCAATCTACTTTATTTGATGCACTCTTTGAGAGA